TGGAGAGATGCAGGTTTGATGGGTAGACTGTTGCATCCTTGTGGAGTTGGCTGGTTGGCTGTATCCAAAGAGTCGCAGTCAACAGCTCAATGTCCAAGTGGAGATGGGTAATGAGTGGTGCCCCTTAAAGGTCCATACTGGGACCAGTGCTATTTAATATCTTCATCAGTGACACAGACAGGGATTGAGGGCACCCTCAGCAGATGACACCAAGCTGAGTAGGGCAGTTGATGTACTGGAGGGAAAGAATGCCATCCAGAGGGACCCAGACAGGGTGGAGGGAGTGGGCTGAAGTTCTACCAGGCCAGGTGCATCTGGGATACATCTGGATTGCCCTGCATCTGGGACAGGGCAATCCCCAGTACTAGTACAGCCTGGATCATGAGTGGGATTGAGAGCAGCCCTGAGGAGAAGGACTTGGGGGCGTTGGGTGATCAGAAGCTCAACATGAGCCGGCACCGTGCGCTGGCAGCCCAGAAAGCCAACCGTGTCCTGGGCTGCATCCAAAGCAGCGTGGGCAGCAGGTCGAGGGAGGGGATTCTTCCCCTCGTCTCTTCTCTCCTGAGACCCCCTGCAGTGCTGCGTTCAGCTCTGGGGTCCCCAACACAAGAAGGACATGGAGCTGTTGGAGCGGGTCCAGAGGAGGCCACGGAGATGATGTGAGGGCTGGAGCACCTCTGCTCTGGAGACAGGCTGAAAGAGTTGGGGCTGTTCAGCCTGGAGAAGAGAAGGCTCCAGGGAGACCTTCCAGCAGCCTTCCAGTACCTAAAGGGGGCTTAGAAGGAAGATGGAGAGGGGCTTTGGACATGGACGTATAGTGACAGGACAAGGGCCAACACTTGCAAATGGAAAGAGAGTGGAGTTAGACTAGACATACAGAAGAAATGTTGTACATTGAGGGTGGTGAGGCACTGGACCAGGTTTTCCAGAGAAGCTGTGGCTGCCCCCACCCCGGCAGAGGTTAAGGCCAGGTTGGATGAGGCTTTGAGCAACCTGATATAGCGGAAGGTGTCCCTGCCCCAAGGCAGAGAGCTTGGAACTAGGTGCTTGAAGGTCCCTTCCAACCCAGACCATTCTGTGTTTCTATGACTCTCCAGGCTGTCCTCCTCCTGTAAGGGGTATTTCCCACACTAGCAGCAGCCTCATTAACCACCCACCCTCATTAACACCCCACTCTCCCCGTTCAGCTCTTACTGCCACTGAAGCCGCGATGCTCCGGGGGATGCAGGACCGGGAACCACACACCGTCCTGCTGCTAATGAAGACAAACCTGCAGCCAATCAACGGAACGAGTTTTAGGGCTCCTTCTTAATTAAACACTCTCTAGTTTATCGATTGGCACCAAAAAGTTCCCTTTGCAGCAAACGGTATCAATGAGTCGGGGGCCGGCGCTAACTGAAACGCGCTGCCTGCAATGATTTTCTTTTAATTGAGAAACGGGAGCAGGCGCCACGCGGGGACCCGGCTCCGTCCACGCGTGGAGGTCCCAGTGGAGGATGGTGGCAGGAGGCGACACGTGTGCAGCCTCTCGGCAGAACCAGTGAGGCAGATTTGGAGGAAAATGGGATTATTTTAAGGGTGCCAGCAGTAAATTCAAGAGGGAAGGAGCTCATCTGTCCCCGTCACCCCTCGGTTATGGCATCTTCACCTTCCTCGGACCCATCCCGTCACTCGGTGGGGTTTTCCCAGTCCCTTTTAATCGCCATGACAAGGATGGAGAGATGAAAGCCAGTCCGGCTGCGCCAGGAGGATTGCCCAGACACCAGGGAGCACCTTCCCCCGTGTCTCATCCCCATCAGATTTGATATTTCGAGGTTGGAAATCCCTCCTGCAACCCAACTGGGCAGCACTGGGTCCTGGGAAGAGTATTCCCAACCTTATTCTTCCTTAGATCCCATCGAAATCTCCCCTCTTCCAATTTAAAGCCATTGCCCCTTGTCCTGTCACTACACACCCTTGTCCAAAGCCCCTCTCCAGCTTTCTTGTAGCCCCTTTAGGTACTGGGAGGCTGCTGGAAGGTCTCCCTGGAGCCTTCTCTTCTCCAGGCTGAACAGCCCCAACTCTCTCAGCCTGTCTCCAGAGCAGAGGTGCTCCAGCCCTCACATCATCTCCATGGCCTCCTCTGGACCCGCTCCAACAGCTCCATGTCCTTCTGATTTTGGGGACCCCAGAGCTGAACTCAGCACTGCAGGGGGGTCTCAGGAGAGCAGAGCTGAGGAGCAGAATCCCCTCCCTCAACCTGCTGCCCACGCTGCTTTGGATGCAGCCCAGCACACGGTTGGCTTTCTGGGCTGCCAGTGCACGGTGCCGGCTCATGTTGAGCTTCTCATCACCCAACACCCCCAAGTCCTTCTCCTCAGGGCTGGCCTCCCTCCCATCTCCACGC